AGTTGGGGGTGGGGGCAGTTTTTTTTTTTTTTTTTTTTGTTTTTTTTTTTGGACAATTTTTTTTTTTTAGTCTTCAGGAACAGATACGCACCACTCAGCATTGGGGTGAGACGTGGACACCATCTGAGGGAAGTCGATCATTGTTATGTGGTCCTGGTCGTCCAGCATGAGGTTGAACTCATTGAAGTCTCCGTGAATCAGGCCGTGATTGGCCAGTTTCACAATAAGCTCCATGAACTCGCTGTACAGCGCTGACAGGTCCTGCAGCTCATGCACCTGACACCTGCAAAAGTGGGAAATAACTCAAATTAAGAGAGGAGAACACATTTGTAGCGCATCACTATTACTGCTGTAAGCAGACAAACGCGGAGGCTGGCCAGCTTACGCACAGAGGATATCCATTAATGAGCTCCATCACTATGGCATGTCTGTTGTAATCCACAGGTTTGGGAACAGGAAAGCCTCGGTCGTACAGAGCCTGGAGATGGAGGGGAGAATAACTTAAACTACAACTTTATTACATTTCCACTTTGTCACCTCTACCTGACCTAAATCCACAGATTCAGTTCATTACCTTCATGTAGGCGAACTCCTTCATGGCAGAGAGGCGTGAGAGGTAAAGCCAGGACATATTCTTCCTGTGCTTGTGGTAATCCCTCTTGTTTTTTAGGTTTCTGAAGGAGGTGCGACCCAGCCTGTGCAGTTTCAGAGCGTACTGCTCCCCATTTGGACTCGCAACAATGTAAATATCTACACACAGTAGAAAGAAACAAGAGAAAAGAAAATTCTAATTTCTTTGGAACAAAAGTTCAGTTATTTAAACATTATTTTGAGTTTGTAGATAAGACTTTGCAAAACACTTCACACAAAAAACACAGATTCAGTGAGATTTTTATTTCCAGCATAAAAAAAAATAAAACATGTTAAAATGTGAGTTTTGAGATTTTAAACATAGTATAGTAATAGTTTAAACAATACTACAAAAAAAGTATGAGTTGTGTAACTGAATTCCACAAAATCACTTCAGCTAAACTTAACTTATGGTAATTTATGGCAAAAGGCAATTTTCTCTCACCTGACTCTTTGCCCACACCCATCTGGTTGCCAACCGACAGAATCACTTCTCTAGAGCACAAAGTTTTTAAAGCCAAGTAGTCGTATCCTCCGTAGTTCAACCGGTAGCCCTGCACAGCTGCAACCGATGCAGAATGGACACCAGAATAAATGACTCAACAGGTAAAAACTAGCACCGCTATAAGTGAGACAGAAACCCAAGCTCTTACTTTTGGAGCGTTCATACACCACGAGTTTGTGTTTTACGAGTTCTCTGAGGATCTTGTTGCAGCCACCATGTTTAAGGCTGGCAATAGATGACAGAAGACTCACTGGAACAATTTCGTGGTTCTTCATCCCCATCTCAACCTGTGAAGGAAACACAAGGTTACACTTTGAGTGGGAAAGCATGATGGTTGCAAAGAAACTACTACTTCTTAGGGGACTTTCTACCTTTTTTTTTTTCCATATTTATCCAGGCTACATATGACAATTTAATTCTCACCAATACCTTCTTTCTTCAGCTGAATAAGATGTTTACAGTAGTTATAAAGTCTTGATTATTTTTAGAATTGTGAAAACAATATGCATTATACAGATTATTTGTGTAGTTTATGTTCACAATATTTAATTTTGAGCAATGACTTATTTAAAAAACAGGAGACTGCACAAATTAAAGGATTTTTCAAAGCAAATAACTCAATTGAAGCTAAAATGTACTTTTTGTAGCTGTGACACATAACATTATTATCTTTATTTAACTATTTGAAATTCTGGTGGCTTATCAGTCTTTATCAATCTCTTTTCCTCTTTGTTTCAAAGTATGATAATTTGAAATAATGTACTTTCAGGGAGGAGAAACTTTAGAGGAAGGTATTGTCGTCTCTAAAGATAATCTCTCCTCTTATTCTTTTTTCCTAAGAGTGTAAAATTAGAAAACAAATCAATTCGACTTTAACTGAGTCATTTGCCGTGGCGACATCAGTAACAGTGTCGTTAATGTAACATTAATTCAGATTTAGGATAGATATCCTAACAAACGAAGCTAAGCTAACTCATGCTAACCCTTTTAAAACCAAGCGCTAGTATTATTACTTACAGCGGTGAGGACTCTGAAGTCATCTCGAGATAAATACCTCAGCATTATAACATTGAGCTTCCCCATATTACAGTTAGTGAGGTGAACAGAATAATATTATAAACAGGTTTTCTACTACCAGTACCGAGCACAGTTTTAGTAAACACATGTGCAAGGCGGACACTCTTCTTCTTCTGTAGCGTCAACCAAGCTCATGATTACATTACGCCACCTACTGTACTGGAGTCTTTTAACGGTCCAGTTCGAGTAAGGCAAATAAATAATTTGTTTGGTTTTAGATAAATGTAGCGGATGCGCAATTTTGAACTGATTAAGTTACCATTGCTACTAAATAATTTGTACTTCATTGATATGACATATAAGTCAGACATAATAATAATACTTTTTTTTCTTTCCTCACAATTGCGAAAATAAGCTTTCATCGTTTCATACTTTGAGCCAGGTACTACGAGAGTGTCAAAATTTCCGAAAGCACATGAAAGCAGCTCACTGGAGCCGAAGTTGTGGCCGCCTCTTGTTGCTAGGTGACCGTTTGTTTGCCGCATTCCGAGTGCCAATTTGACGGCTGCTTTACCCTCTACCGCTTTAAACTTTGAAAATATAAATTTGTGAGGCATTTGCTTCCCCCCTTCCCGATTCACATATTTGACATGGATGCCAAGGACGATGAAGCACGAAGCATTCCTGAGCTGGAGTTACAGGCTGTTATCGGTTTTAACGGTAGGTTCTCTGTGGAGTTCAACGTGAGGACAGGGTCTGCTTTTTATTGTTGTCGATTTACCTCAATCTTAAGTTTTTACTCAAAAAAGATTGTGCTCATTCTGTTTTGTTGGTAGTTGAGTTGATGACATAACAGGCACAAGAACCGGAGATGGTTACTTGTTGTTTTCGGATGAATTTTCGCCATCCACCTAAATGTGGGGTTTGCTTTTTCACCAGAATTTTTAAAAAATGTTTTTAATTAAAAAAAAATGTATTAAAATAATTTTAATAACTTTTGAAACTTTCACAGAAAGTTTCGAAAGTTTTCTTTGTATTTATTTGCTTAATAATACTTGTATAACATTTTATACTGTACTATGTAAATTATTATGAATAGAACAGGAGAATCAAGAATTGTAAATCTGTTGGATAGGGAAAAATTTAATATATATTACATTTCCACAAAAAAACCTGTTTTAATGTTGTTGTGTTTTTCTTTACTTGTATGTAATATTCATAATATCCTAGGATATTTAAAAGAAAACAAAAACAAAACTTGTGCAAATTCCAGTTCCAACTCTTTCACACCATTTGTATCCTCATGTCATGTATCAGGTCATGTCCCCTTTGGCCTGAAGCTTCATCCAGACAAGAAGTATTTGATATATCCTCTGGGAAGTCTTGTTATCCTGAAAAGAACCGACGATGGGAAGCAGGAGTTTCTGCATGGGCATTCAAACAATGTATCCTGCGTTTCTTTGTCCAAAAGTGGAGTCTACATTGCCTCTGGGCAGGCCAACGTTGTGGCCGTTAAGGTAGCCATACTCACAAAACCCTTTTGTGATTGTGCATTTTTCGACACTCTTAAGTTACGGTAATACTTGTCTACAGGCACCAGTGATTATCTGGAACTATGCAGCGAGAGCAATCCACGGCCAGCTACTGCTCCACAAGGTGAAGGTCGAAGCAGTCGCCTTCTCTCCCAACGACAAACACCTGGTGTCTCTTGGGGGCCAAGATGACGGCAGGTAAACAGCTAAACCTCTAAAGACTCGGAGCCCTGTGACCTCCATGCAGGATGGACATCTGATGAGCAGGACCTATGCAAGGTGTTTGCTGTGTGTTTCTTAGCATCGTTGTTTGGAACGTCGAGACCAAACAGGCCATATGTAAGAGCTCAGCCTCGACGTACGGTTACTGCCTCACCGTGGAGTTCTTCCACACCAGTGATAACATCTTCGCTTCAGCTGGCAGGTGGGTAAACGACATCTCCTCTCATTCTGTGACGTGTCGGAAATGATTTTGACAAAGGCCCTCGTCGTAGCAAGGAGAATTTCTGTAAATACCAAGTACAACAACACTTGGAAACTTTTAATCTAATAAATAAATAAGTGTTACTGTGTCATTTGTCTTACTGGTACTGCTGTTGCTTGCCAGTGGAACACTGCGAATCTGGGAGTTGGATCTTACCAACAGAAGGATCTGGCCCACTGACTGCAGGACAGGCAAGCTGAAGAGGACTGTGAAATGTTTGGAGGTATGAGGCCATATTGACATAGAGCTGGAGATTAGGGATCTCTATTACCCCTGAAACTTTAAAAAAGAAAACTTAGTTGGAAATAATAAATAAAAAGTGAAATTATAAGAAATACTGTAATTAGAAAAAGGTGAAGCGGCTGCGTTGTTTTGAATTTTTTATTTTTTTTGCACAGGTTTCAGTGTGTGATCAGTATATGTTCTGTGGCACAACAAGTGGGGACGTAATGAAAATCAACACGAGGTTGAAACTCTTGAATAACTGTGGTCCAGCTAGAGCAAAGTTCAGCGGGGTAAGTCATCACAGCTTCTAGTCTTTTATTTCTAACACTGCACAATTGCTGACTTGTATAATGTCTTGTCCTGATGAAATGATCATTCAGGAGATAGCCACTACACTTTCTCCAGGTTTTGAGGGATAAGTTGAGCGATTTTCTCCCCGACCCATCTGCTTTGCTCCTCGTAAACAAACATAATGCTGTTTGTTTACTAGTGTTCTCTGAGAAGTCTCTGATTTGACAAGTCGTTCTGCTTTCTGTCCAGGGTATCAATGTCCTCAAGGTGTTGAACTCTGGAGACATGATTATTGGCACTGGATCGGGTACCTTGGCTCTGTGCTCCAAGAATAACTTCCAAACTGTCAGGCGAGTCTCACCCTCATATCTTTTGGGTCAACCTCAAACAAGCATAGCAACATCTGACTGTTAAACCAGCTAAATTCATATTGTTTATTATGCAGATGATTTTTACGTCTCTCCTTCATCTTCCCTGATAGGGAAATCGAGCTGGAGAACGGAGTGACCTCCGTTGCCTTCAGTGACGAGGGAGGGCAGCTCTTAGTCGGCACAGAGGGAGCCCAGATGTACCGTGTCAGTTTTGAGGATTTCAAAGCTGATCTGCTATGCACAGGCCACAGAAGCACTATCCATGACATAGCCATTCCTTTGTAAGTCTGATCTATCATGTCTACGACCACTTTTCTGTCTGAGTGAGCTCCCAATGGGAAGAAAAATGACCAGCGCAAGTTTTAAGCTGTTGAAGCTGTCAGAGTTTCTGCTTCCTGACTGTCTTTCATCTTTTTAGAGGGTGTTTTGGAGGAATGTTGTGTTGTATCAGACAGTTTATTTCTTGTGTTTTCCTGTCTCACACTAACATTTAGACAGAAGCAGACTTGGTTCTCAATTTCTTTCACCACAGTTTATTTATTTATTTTTTTTACATTCAAGTAACATGTTCTAATAGTACATGTTTCCCTGCATGGAGTTATAAACCTGCACAGGCTGAAATTTTTTTTAAAACAGAGGTGTCAGAAATTGTGCTAGGTTAATTATTTTTGACCCACAAAAATTTATTCCAAAATATCTACCACAGCGGGCCGGCTGCTGGACAGCACATGCACCGCTAATGTTACAAATTCCTGAATGTTATGTGTGATGCATTGGCACATATGTCAGAAGGACCTACAAGCCACCTGTCCTCTCTGTTTGCAATTAATAGTGACCTAATGCTACTACCAGCCACATTGGTAGGAGAAGAGATTACTAGTATCTGGCTCAAACTGAGGGCATCAATAGATCAGAGTACAAAACTGCACTGTGATGAATGTTTTCCACATGCCCCTTTCCTTGCAGCAGCTGCATGCATGCGGAAGGAGAACTCCACTGTGGTGGCTGAGAAAATTCAGAAGTTATGAGGACTAAGTGCAATAAAAGTCTCTAAGACTTTGTGATTTTGTCTTAGCAACTTTTTCCAACTTTCCCCAACCACTGAGTGGTTGGACAGTCATTTAAATAAATGATTCTCATTATTGTGAGCCTGTTAAAAAGGGGCTACCAACGAAATTTTACTCAGAAGGCTACAAATGAAGAAAATAACCTTAAAGGTTTTTAACATTTCTACTGTGCTTTATTTTGTATTTGATTTGAAACTACCTAATTTCTCCAGTACATGTCAAGTTTTTAATTTTGACATCTCTTGATTTAAAAGAAATCTGTGTTTCTCTAGTTTGCTCACTAGAGGATGACACATTAATGCAACATCTGTTGTGAAGTTGGGCAAACTGCAGGTCAATACTTCTTACTCTGTTTCTTTTGCTGTGTGCTAGTGCCATGTCCCAGGTGTTTGCAACCTGTTCTGAGGAAGAAATCAGACTGTGGCGCGTAAACAAGCCCAAAGAGCTAATGCGTCTCTCTGTGCCCAACGTGACCTGCAACACCCTGTGCTTCATGAGTGATGGGCACGGCATCATCAGTGGTGAGATTCAGGCAACGCATCTAAAATGTCTTGTAAACACATTCGTATTTCTTTAACAATTTTGCATTTTGTCACAAACGTCCATGTATTTTATTGCGATCCTACCTGATAGACCAACAGAGAGTTGTGCGTGTTGGGAAGTGGCAGGAAACTGATACATGGTTTGATTTTATCCACTGAGTTAGTATTTTGTAAAATCACCTTGAGTACATCTCTGTCGGTTTTTGGGCAACATTCTTTTGCAATTTCCCACGATTTCCCTGTGGTTACGATAATGTGCATCATCAGTCTTGACTTTTTGTCTCATCTGACCTGAACACCTGCTTCCTCATGTTTAGCTTTGTGTCCTATATGGATTGAGGCAAACTGCACTTCTCCTGGTTTTCTCGTAACAATAAACCAGAAGTATTCATTTGTGTTCCTCCACACACATAAGAACCTGAGCGATATCCCATTCTAAATCTATGGGATTTAATATGATGTTGGGCCACCGTTTGCAGCTGTAATGACTTGATCTCACCTGGGAAGGCTTTTCACAATGCTCAGGAGAGTTTGTGGAAGTTTTTGTCCATTCTTCCAGAAGCAATGTAATTCCTCCAAAAGGCCAGAGTCCATGTGCACAACTCTGTGCAGAGCAGTCAGCTTTTCCACACAGAACTTGTTCCTTTATGCTTTTGTGAACATTGCTTTATGTACTAAAGCACACGTTCAAGCTATTCCCACAAAGTTAGGAGCATAAAACTGTCCAAAATATCTTGTAAAGCTAAATCATTAAGTTCCGTTCAACGGAACTAAGGGAACAGGTCCAACTCATGAAAACACACACACACCATGAGTCCCTCTCCATCAAACTGAGATAATGCGGTTAGGCAAGTTCCTGTCTCCTGGCAGATGCCAAGCAAAGAAATGCGGATTAGGCAAGAGTTGACTGTGGGGTAAAACTGGACTTATTGCACTGATGGCATTTTATCATGCTGCCACAAGGCCATGGATTAGACGCCTTCATTCAGCATTTTGGATGAGTGACCCAATACTTATGATGATATAGTTCTGACAGTATAGAATAAATATAAACTCATGCCACACTACTCCACACTACTACTCTTTCTCTTTTAAATGATCTTTTCTCTTCACACCACAAATGTGCATAGTGTGGTATTTGTCTACTATGTGGAATCACAATAAAATACACCGAAGTACGGGATTGTAATGTGACAGCAGTCTGAATACTTTGTGAAGTATCCATCTGAGACATAACATCGAGCAGCAGTTCATCTGCTTCTGTGTCAGCGGTGCCGAAGTCGCCAGCTACAAAATACCGCTCCTCTTCACAACAGTAGGAATGCAGGTTTTTCTTTGGGTTTTAGGATGGAGCGATGGTAAGATCCGCATGTTTGACCCGAAAAACGGGAAGCCGCTGCTCATTATGAACAACGCGCACAATATGGGCGTGACAACCATCGCCAACTCCAGAGACTCCAAGAAGATTGTCAGCGGAGGAAGAGAGGGACAGGTCAGTATGTCCTAATATTTGTTCAACTCAAGATGTTAAAACAAGCATCTTCTCAGTTTGACAATACGAGACGTTATTTCTCCACAAAATGCTACAATAATTTAAAAAAGGCTGCACTGGTATAACAAAATAGGGAAAAGGAATGGAGAAGAATGAGTTTATTTCCATTTGCAGGTGCGTGTGTGGGAGCTACAGCCTCAAAGCCACCATTTGCTGAATACGCTGGCGGAGCACAAAGAGGCTGTGACTTGCGTCAAAATCAAGAGCGATGACAGCGAGTGCGTCACAGCCAGCACTGATGGGACCTGCATCATCTGGGACTTAGTGTGAGTAGCACTTCTGGAGAGTACATCACACACTTCAGCAGTGTAAAGAACACACACACACACACACACACACACACACACACACACACACAAACTTTATGCCTACTCTCTTCATCTTTAGATTTGTGTTGCAGTCCTCGCAAAATGTCGCGGAGATCAGATAAATGGCTGGAAATTTAAAAGTCAAGCTACGACAAATTTGTTGAAAAGACAAATCGAAGCATATTACTACGCAATTTCTTCATGGCGTTCAATTTAGCAATTCTTAAGTGACGGACAGAGAGCAGCAGCAGAGCATGGGCTTCCTATGCAGTCAGGAAAAGTGAAGAACCAAAGTGTTTTTCACATCAGGATAGGTGGAGACAATCCATCCATGCATATTTAAACTGTGACTGTTATGGCACTACATGAAGCACTTTTGTGTTTCTGCTTCAAAAAATGGAATGGAAACGCTACCAGTTATCGTCTAGAAAAAGAAGAGACGAGAAATGCGAAGAGTGCTGTAAAATGGCTGTCTTTAAACATTGATGCTGTTTCTGGTTTGTAGAGAATTAAAGTACATTTACCACGCTTACTGTCTTTAAACAACATGCTTCCTTCTGTAAAGAGAATCTTCATTATATCAAGCTGTGGTCACAGTTTTTCGTTGTCCTCGGTGAACTGTTTTCATCCATCCCAACATACTGTAAATTTTCTGTCTACTTAACAATTTGTAACAGCAATTTTTGTGACTCTTGTCCAGCTCCACGTTAAAGCTACCTTCAGTAGGCTATCCTTGAAATGTAATCGTCAACAGAAAGTTGACTTGGAGTAAAAAAACCCAACAAAAACAACGTTAGCAAGCTTCTTCTCATGTCTTTATTGAACTGTTCCTCTGTTTTTCTGTGTTTCCTTGTTCAGACGATTCGTGAGCCTTCAGAGGGTGATTGCGAACACTCTTTTCCGGAGTGTGTGCTACAATCTAGATGAACACCAGATCATCACGAGTGGAACAGACAGAAAGGTGCTTTCAGACCCTAAGGACCCCTTGCGGGGTGACGTCACGCGCGTAAGATCCCGCCCCTGTCTCAATACAGGAGGCCAAAAAACTACTGGCTGACATTGACATTGGTTTTAGCTGTTAAGATGTCAATATGACGCGCTGAGTCTTAAGGTGTTACGCCCGATATATAAAATAAAAAGAGACACATTGCTTTGCTACGACAACTAGATAACAAGGTCAGGAACAAGTTTTGATTAAGAAAAAAATGGCGAGGGAGAGGGAAGTAGTTCATTTATTCTTGCTTGAATTTGACAACCATAACATCTAGGTGTGATGTGGAATTTGGTGTGTTTCAGTTCAGTTAAAAAAAAAAAAAAGGCGACATAAACACCAACTATGACGTATCCTCGTGTTTAAATTGACTAATCAACCACCGCAGTAATAGCAGCTGTGTATAATCTACCACATGTGTATAATCTACCACAGGGAACACTTATTAATAATCGCAAAATAAACATTAAGCCTAAAAACATAAAACTCAAAGGACTAAATGTTCTGTTCTTTGTGTGGGAAATGTTTGAGTGTTGTTTTTTGTTTTTTGGTGTTGAATTTCATGACAACCACAAGCTTGAAAGTCGAGATACCAAAACAGTGATAGAATGTTATGGTTTAGATAACTGGTGTGCAAAGTTTTTATCACTTGGTCCAAAATCATCAAGTCAAAAGTGACTGATCTGTATAAAAATTTGATAGCTTAAAGAAAACTCCAAAAGTTTTTATTTATGTGGCTTATTTTTTATTTTTTACCAGTTTAACATTAATGGGCATGTCCAAAAATAAAAGTTTAGTAAAACAAATAAAATCTGAATAAAAAAGGAATCTCTAAATTATTGTAGATCTACAATATGACAAGGGCTTTGTTTTTCTTCAACCAACATTTATTATATTTCTCTAAATCAATCAAGTAAATGCATTTTTTTTTTCAATCAGGCTGGCTTTTGAGTAAAAATTGAATAATAATTGTGGTCTTATTTACTATTAAATGAAAAAAACATTCCAGTATGAGAACAACTGTGTGAGGTTAAAACATAATAGATGTAACCTCTGTGCTCATCTGATTGTCAGATCACCTATTGGTACGTGTTGGACGGCTCTTCCATCAGAGAACTGGAGGGCTCCCAGTCAGGGGCCATCAACACCATGCACATCACAACTGACGGCAACCACTTTGTGACAGGTCTGTTGCTGTCTGAACCTTCATCGTGTCACCAGTGTTGCCGATCTGAGTCAAGCGTAGAGAGCTTGATTAGAACCTGGACATCAAAACTGGTTTTAGACTGGATGAAAAGCCACAAAAGATAATGTCTCTTTTCAGAGAAAATAATTAAAGCCCCTGATGAATATGACAAACATGCCCAAGATAGAATCTTCTGAAAAACAAAATGTAAATAGCTATTGCAATCATACATTTGCTTCTGTTTCTTTCCACCAGATTATGCTCTGTCTGATCAATCACAGAGCATTTGAATAAAAAAAAATGGTAGTCATAACCTTTTTATGGCCATTTTAATATGGCATGTTTTTACTATTTTATCTTGAGCATGATTTACTCTCTCCTGATGACACTGTAAGTCACTTTTACAGTTTTCTTAAATGTTTTTAAAACACCTTTCTCCGTTTTGTATGGCCAGGTGGAGAGGACAAGCAGCTGAAGGTGTGGGACTATACGCTCGGAGACGTAACCCATGTAGGGATGCCTCTTGGTGCAAGTATTACCTCCACCAAGATCTGCTCCAGCAACAACGTCCTGGTCTGTACCACTGCTGACGGAGGCATTTGGCAGTGGAAGTTTCCTCACCCTCCCTCTTCCTAATAAACTCTTAAAGTAGCATTTTACCTGAATATTTATTTGCAAATTTTACATATAAGATTGCAGAGCGGATTTGAACTGAGAAACAGAGAATAGCACTAGATTCAGACAGTATTACTAATTATGCATGTCAATGTGTTGAAGTGTTTTTTTTTTTTTTTTTATTCATTTAAATTAGTATAATTAACCACCTAACAGTTAATCTCCTCTCTGTGACTCACAAAAGAAAGTGTCTCTTAGGAAAAATATTTTCAGGTCATAAGTGCAATTGTTAATTGATTTTATCTGTCCAATAACATTGTGTCAAGCAGATGTGGGCAAACAATGTGACAAAATCCCCTTTTGATACCTCAAGTATTCCCCTTATTGGAAAACGTGCACCACTATCGAGTCTCGCAGTATCAAATTGGATTAGCTGCAGGCTGGTCATGAAAGCAACTTCTAAGATCATCTGAAAAACAAAAAGTCAATCCTCTGCAAAACTATCAGGTCACAGAGAGTATTTTTATGTAAAATACACTTGGAGAAATAAGTTAATTTTTTTCTATCTGTCTGTCTGATGTATCAGAACAACCTGAATCTTCTGTCATGAACAGCAGGTAATGCGAAGCTCTTCATTTTGAAGCTAGATGGCGCTGCAGCACAACAGGAGTCACATGAACAGTTGTTTTTTTTGTGTGTCTCCTGCATGATTGCTTCTTCATGAAATCAAGACACTTTTTCATGGAAACACCAGATTATTTCCTCGTGTAGTTCAGTCTCAAATTATTTCATGTTTGATGTTTAGTGTTGATTTTATATATAAAGTAAGAGAGCAATGGAGAACAGGGTCTGTAATTGTGGTCCCTGAATTTGGGAGTACTGCTGTTAATGGATTTAGACATAATTTTGGGGATGGTGGAGCTAATGACTGTGTTGGGGAAGTAATCTATTTGAAAAACTGAATTTTGCAGTTTGTGGACACGAATGAATGAAAACTGTAATGGTGGCTGTTGTCCTCTGGTTTAATTGTCTCATTTGCAGTTATTCTGTAGAGTAACCAGAGCCAGGATCACAAAACCCAACCAGAGCTACTTTGTTAGCAAGAAGCTAAAAAGTGAGAAGTACACCTGTAAGGTCACATTCGATTAATATCAGGGCTGTTTCTCTCCTTCTTCATTCTTTTAAAAAATGAACTTAACAAGGAGTTTCTCTTTGTTCTGTTGTTTCAAACACTTAAAAATATGTTTTCCTGTGATCTGAGAAAGAGCTTCACATATTTTTCCCTTTCATATCATGGTGAGTGGATCACATGATAATCCTCTAACTTGGTTGGCTGAAACTAATAAGAGGCCACATCTAATTCAGATTGAATCATCATACCATCCCCTAACTCAATTTCTCATCCGTCTTCTCTCTCACTGTTCCGTTAAGAAAAAAATAACCCACATTCAAGGCAGAAATTGGATCGATTCATTTATGTGACTGAAAGCTCCAGCTCTCAGCAGCTGCAGAGATAAAGTTTTGAGGCGAAAACATGCGATGCAGCCTCTGACACTGGAACACAGCGAGGCACGGCTTGTCAGTCAGTCTGGATAGATAAAACCAGCCGTGTGCTGGTGAAGTTGAACTGGGAGCACACAGCAACAACCTGGCTGGCCCCGCCTGTGTGTGGGATTATCTGGAACGTGGCGTAACGGCCATTCCTGCGTATGTGCACACACACACACACACACACACACACACTCACGCACACTTCAACAGCGAGTGTCTTCTTTCCAGATGTGCTGAAAAAAAGAAAGAAAAAAAAAATGTTTCTTGGCGTGCTTCAGCTCTGAGCAGCTTTGTTTCCAGCCTCCATCTCCAGGTTGCATGGACTGAAACGTGGCCAATGGGAGTGGACGGACAGGATTCGGCTTTATTTTGTGTTTATGGCGGTTCTTCTCACCACTCCTCGCTCGTTATAAAACACAACGACCCCGTCCGTTTTCTGTGCGTAAATGCTTGAATATTGTCCACAGACCTGCAGTGAATCGGTCTCCTTTGATAAGAAATTAATGAGCCCCTCGTTGGTGTGAGATGAAAGTGAGAGCAGGGTAGGTCAAAGTGATGAAAGGATCTCTGCTGCACTGACTGGGGGGATCGCTACATCAGATATACACACAGTATATCAAAGCAGTCAGCCCTCCTATTACTACATCGACTTAAAAAAAGCCTTTTATGTTTTAATAATAAAGCAAAAAACCTTTTAAAGTAGTAAAATATCTACTGTCTCATCCTGTACTGACATCCAGGACTTACGACCTTGCAAAAAGTGTTTATACTCAATGAACCTTATTGTAATTTTATTTGGATTTTATATAATAGACTGACATTTGTACATAGTGGTAAAGTGGATAGAGAATGAAAGCCTACTCTCTTGGCCTCGGGGTTTGTCAGAGAACAGTAATGAAGAAACGACAGAAAAAGTGGTGGAGAAGTTTAAACCAAGTTTAAACCATAGAGATTTGGTCAGTTCATCAGTTGAAAACTGAAACTGTACAGCAACACGGACCTGAACTGACAGGCTGAGCAAGGAGAGCATCGATCAGTGAAGCAGCTGAGAGGTGGACTCTGGAGGAGCTGCAGAGATCCACAGCCCAGATAGCTGAATCTGTTTACAGGACATGGCTACAAAACTGCTTTTCATGGAAGAGATGCAAAAAGGAAGCCACTGTTTGGAAAGCGACGGCTGGGAGAAGAACCATTTAAAGTTTGCAGCAGTCATAAGCACAAGCTTAGACATGGCTCTGGCCTCGCTCCTATCTAACTTATAAACAATATAAGTACGTTACAACTATTACATGATCACAGTTCTTGAATACTCTACCCAGCTCTGGTAGTAAAAGTCAGTGAACATGCCTACTAAGATGTCACGGATCACTTCCGGTTCAGACTTGTGGAAACTATGTACAGCCCTGAAGCTGATCGGTGATCTGCAACTTTTCAGGTTTTGATTAGTGGAAAAATGAAAAAGAAAGTAATTTCTCTTTTTTTTTTCTCCACCTCATGTGTTGTGTTGGTAAAATCTTGACAAAATCCTGATTAAATACAGTTTGTGGCTGCAACGAAACAAAGTGAGTCAAAAATGTTTAAGGGGTTTGAACATTTTTGGGAAACAATGGATTTAAGAAGGACAGAAAAAAAACATATTATAAACGTATGAAGATTTGACAGCTGTTTGTAAAAAGATGGAGTATTTATAGAGAGGCTGCAGGCATTTCAGCTTCGATTTCTGTGTCTCTACGTTATAAAGTGGTAACATGGAGGAAATGCCCCTATAACCTCACCGCCTGCTACACAAAATATCACACACACACACACACACACACACACACACACACACACACAAAGCAGTGCACACACATGCAGTGTCACCCGGTTAAATTGCTTTCATGTTGTTTTCCTGCTCTTAGCCTTGGGGACAGAATGCTAAATTGAGGCAGGAATTGGAGAAGCTTAGGTAAGTCTGCAGCAACAAGCGTGGGCTTTGTTCCTGGGTTATCATCGCAGTGCCGTCAGCCAGCCGCTGTGTGTTTGGAAACATCAAATTTGATTAGATTAGAAGAGAAGAGAAGGGATCCACTTTCTGTGCCTGCTCTGCTGCCAGTCTCCTAAACAATAATCTGCTCTCAGGTGCCGCTACAAGAGGCTTGTAAATGAGGGGCCTGAGGATAATTTGAGCAGGGGGAACATAACCTTCTGCAAGACACAGATATACAAAGACACGTATGGCATCTGTGAGACACGACACTTACTACCTCTGCATTTCTCGCTAAAGCTTGAGCTCCACGAACATTCAAAAGCTTGTAATGTGTGGACAAGCCAGATTTCACAAATCACCACTACTATCTGTAAAATTTGAAGGCTCTTATTTTGATTTTCTTCCAAAGAATTGTCATCAAGATGCGTAGTAACCTATTTAACATAATGCGAGCAGGTGTGCGTCAGTGTGTTTGCAGATGGATATACGTTAACGGTCATGAACTGAACGGACCTGCTAAGCGATGCTTGATTCCCTTCCAGGCAAGTTGGCAATCGGTTCAACAAATCTGGGCATCACTATGAAATCGTCCTACATTGTTACTTTGCTTACAACTTTAAAGTGTTGCATTTATTTTTCTTTTAATACTAAGTAATTACTTAAATACCTTAAAAAAAGGCAATTTATTTTATTATATAATCTCAGCCATATGTGAAGCCGCGCAGTTAGGTTTGATCAGGAAATATAAAAACGACGCAGCTCAGCTGGAATGAAGCTGCATGTAGCAAAATAACTGGATACTTGGCCGAGGTGTGAACGAAGCCCAGATTGCAGTGATGGCGTCCTTCAGTTTATCTGCATCTTTTGGGTCTGTTGTCTCTCATCTTCCTCTTGACAGTACTCCATAGATTTTCTGTGGGGTTAAAGGTCAGGGGAGTTTGCAAGCCAATCAAGCACAGTAGTCACTGAAGCAGCTTTTGTTATCTTTGACAGGATGGGCAGGTGCCAAGTCCTGCTCGAAAAATTAAAATCACGATCTCCATCAAGCTTGTCTGCAGAAGACAGCATAAAGTCAGTCCAAAATGTCCAAGTATACAGCTGCATTGACTGTGGACTTTAGAAAGCACAGTGGACCAACGCCAGCAGATGAGATTCATGAAATCTTTATGAGAAAACACAAAAAAAAAGTCGATGTTCGGTGTTGTTCTTTTTGGCTCTTGATCCACTTTAACCAAGCAAAAAAAAAAATGGAATAAATTGACTATTAAACCTTGTCTGGAATATGTTATGCTGATTGTAGATTCTTTTTTTAAACAAATTAATAATTTATAAAAAAGAAAAATAAATGTATTTCAGTTTTCCTCCTTAAAAACATTGCTAGAATCTGGCGTCATCTTGTTTTCTTCAGCTCGATGATTATACCAGCTATTTGCCATTTATTTTATGCCTTTATGTAAAATTATTTATTTATTAACCATGGATGTTACATTTGAGTTGAACTTTTTTTTTTCTCTAAATC